CAAAAACATCAATCACTAAAAAATGCGTCATATGCAATAAAAATAAAATTGGTTTCGCCATCATTACTTTGAACTTTGAGTGACTGTAAATCGTGTAATTTGGTTTGATTTAAATGATAAATTATGTTCTAGCCCTTTAAACTGTGTATGTGGCTATCTGGGAAAAGTGGGCAAACCCGTACAGATTATAAAAATGGACAAAGGACATTAGGTGATGAAATAGCTCCTGAACTTCGTGTTTCCTATAAAATCGCATCACTTCTCAGTTCAAACAAATGCTGAAGAAATTATGCTCCTGTAAGTGTATATTTAGAACTTTCCCAGCTTCAACTTTTGTAAGAAATTTTCTTATTGATTTGCCCAGTGAAAGTGTGATTACCAGTAGAGTATTATAGTTATAAATAATATTATAAGCAGTTTCATAAGTAATGGCTCTGAGGCACTCTCTTATGCGACACGCTTAAAATATTGTTTCTTCTTCAACTTAGGGAGCTTCAGCGTCTCCGATGATTGCTTGTCATACACACATTTTCCAATTGTGTTCTAAAAATGAGTGACATCAATTTCGAGCAACAGTGTGCTATCATGTTTTGCTTCAGACTTTGTAATTATATTTGCATAAAAAAATTAAATAAACGTACCATCACTTAATTTACAGACCTCGTATAAGGATATTCACCCTTTTGCTTTCACACTCCGTAGCTTCAATCTATCGGACTGTCGGTCAACACAAGAGATAATGACACTATAAGTTTTTATCATTCATCTATTATTCAGAATAATTTGTTACTTGGAAACCACAGCGAGATAATTTTAGATACAAATAATTAATCACCCTGCAAAGCAAATCTTGCATAAAATACACATAAATTAACCTGTGCTCACGGTACTCAAAAATAACTTGACTTTCACTTGATTATCCATAAATTATATTTACAAGAACGGATTGTTAACAGGGGAATTCCCAAGTTCGTGTGTTGTCATGAAAATACTGTTGCTGTACAAGAGTACAAAATTATTCCGAAATCATTAAATGACATCATCGTTTTATGAACAAGTAGTTCATTGAATAATGACCTCTCTTTGACCTCGATTTTGTACGCTTCAAAAAATACGCTACAAGAAACGAAACCCCGTCCTGATTGAACCGTCTTTGCAGTTAAGGTCTTCTAAGAATGCTGCCTTCAAGAATTGGCAACATTCATCATTGAACTTAAGACATTGCAAGGATTATAAGAGCATATCAATAGACATACTTTGCTTCTATTGATAGATCCAGGTTTGCTTTTTAATAGAAGACAAAATGGTGAGCTGAACAAATATACAAATACAAAATGTAATCAAATACGACACCGTCATATTTGACTACACAAGAACATTCAATATTTGAAGGGCTGAATATTTTTTAATCTAGGAAAATTTTGCTTTAATCATACAGCAAAACATCCGTCGTAATTATTTTTATATCCGACTGTTGGGAGATATACTCGTACATATTTCGAGATGCAAGGTTTGAGGTGTGCTTTCTATAAAAATGTTGATCTCTTCAAGAGTTGATTTCCAGTGGTTTTTGGTTTCAGAGAGGTATGTTTCCGAACTGCTCTAGAAAAGGTACATGGGTATACGAAGGACAGTGGAACGATATTGGTACAAAGCCCTAATAGTGAGTTACTCCGAATAACTCAATTGGGTTACTGAAACGCAGATAAGGTATCGAAAAACCTTTTGCGTTTTGAATATCCCGTGCAGATGGTTACTCGGGCAAAATGAAAATACTCCTTTGATTTATCTACTATTTATTTATACTATATAAAATGCATAACACAGAAAAATGATATAGACCTCAGTCATAAACTACCCTTAAGATACAAACTGTCATTCTCAAATATTATCAAATATTCTCTCATCGGAAGATCTTGATCATAGATGGCCGTTAAAATCAAAATCACGGCTGTGAAAGAAAATGTTTGACAAAAAAAAAACAGCATTTCTGAACGTCATATCATGTTATTCTCTTTTTCCAGTCTATCCATCACACTTGGTAAGAACTGATTTTATAGATTTGATAGTTTCAAACTCTAAATATACTATAAAAAACATAATATTAGTTGTAAAAAGTTTTTAAAATATAAATTGATTTCTTTTCAAAAATTCCTTTCTAATTGTCTTGTGAACGAGTCATGTTATCAGCTGAAATTTGGGACGATTAGGTTGATGCACGAATATGTACTATAGCAGTTTATAGGACAAAAGTAGTAGTTGAAAATTTATTGTAACATTTTTCAAATGGAAATGGGGCGGGTCATGTGATACCTCACATTGAAGCTGCTCCTGAGTAGAACTTGATAACCATGGAATGTAAAATCTTCAACTTCACCAAAATTGGCGGGATGGCAAGCTCTCAAAGTTGAGCGTTTGTGCTGCATTGAATCGCTTGTAATTCAACAACCAATCATCAAAGCTGTAGTATGTTATACCTAATCAAATATGGAAAATTCAGTGTGTCAATCTTATTTTATTGCTTATTCTCATAGATCCTTCCTAAATAAGGAAATTCATGAAACATACGTACACTATAACGTCTTGATGATTCGCGATTCAGTGAACAAAAATGCACAACTTTGAGAGTCTGCCATGTTGACAGACAGAGATTTTGAGTTACAAACTACGCGCAAGGAACTTCAAAATGATGTATCATATAACTCATCATTCCTTTTGAAAAACATTCCAAGATGGAGCTCAGTCGCCATCTTGATATTTTCAATATTATTTGCACTTTAAATACAGTATTTATGCACTAATTTCATCGAATTTCAAGGTTATAGCTTGACTCGTTCTAAATATAAGTAGTGGAGAACTTTCTGAAAAGTACTGTATAAAAACTGATGAAAAATAATTCATTTGTGATAATAATGGCTAGTAAATGACCCATCTGATAACCTCCTAAACGCTGGAAGGCTAAAATCTGGCTTAGGGTTGAGCCGGCAATACCTCCTGGTGTGAGCCTGATCTCCAGTGGCACCGCACAAGTCGCAAACGTATTTCCTTAAAATTGGGCATATGACTATGCCGTCAGGCTTTTTCACGTAGTGGCTACTGTATACCTTCACTGGTTCCCCGTTTTTGTAGCAGAACTTGCAGTAAATCTGGGGTAAGAAATAGGTTGACTCCTGAAATGGAAAATGAGGTTAAATGGATGATAAGAGGTCATTAGGATATTAGGATATTTTGGATCAGAAGGCTCGCAACTTAATGAATCAAAAGTGATGTCTTAAGCGCACGATAATGATGGGATTATTGGGACTAAGTTGATTTTTGGGCAAAGGTGATCCAGAACATGGAATAAACAAAAATTAACCTGTAAGAACCATGATTTTCGTCCCTGAAAATATTTCAGTTTTCAAGTTGATCGCATCTAATATGAATTTTTTGCCTTTGAATACTTCACAACACTGTATTTTAAATTGTCATCAACATTTTTATTTATTTGAGTACTTGATTGTTCTATACAAGCTCTCAGTACACGATTTCAAGTTTTTAGGGCTAATGTACAGATAAATCTATGATGTTTGAAATATATAGAATAGGTGCGTAGTGTTACCAATGTTGGGAGCGTACCAGCATCAAAAAAAGATAAACCCTCCCCATCCCCTTACAATCCTCATTCCCAAGTTTTTTATCTCTAAAATTTTTTTCTATAATGATCAGGATCCCCACTGGATCGATTCTCAAAAACTACAATGCTTTTATGTCCTTGGCATAGTAGTAACATTGTGTCAAAATTTACCTCATAACTTCAAATATACTAAGTGACATATAAATCCTAACACCCAGTTTAAATGGTTTTATTTTAATAAAATTTTGTATAAGTACTTAATGAAGCATAATAAGTAAATGATAAAAATTTCAAAATGATTGCACTGCTTTAAAGCCCTTTGACCTTTAATAATGTGTGGATGCACCCTGATGTGCTACGCATTCTCCAACGCGCCTAAGCATGCTTCTGATCAGGTGGTCAATGTCCTCCTGTGGTATCTCATTCCAGGCAACCACCAACTCCTCTCGAAGTGCTTCTAGAGTCTGAGAAGGACGTTGCAAATTGAGCAATCTCCTACCCATCATATCCCACACGTGCTCAATTGGGGATAAGTCGGGAGATCTTGGTGGCCATGGTAACAATGTGACATCATTATGTTGAAAGAAGTCTATTGTGACTCTTGCAACATGTGGTCGGGCATTATCTTTTTGGAAAGTTGGATGTGCCAGGGTGTCAAGATAGGGTAAAAGATGGGGTTCTAGAACTTCGTGGATATAACCTGCGCGTTCATGTTACCTCTGATGAAGATTAAAGGTGACCTGGAACTATGAGCTATAGCACCCCAAACCATAATTCCAACAGTGGCGGCGATCTTCACGGTCTGTTGTTCTACGGCGGCGTCCAGTACCCCTTGCCCTTTGCGTACGGCCTTCTCGAAGCCATGCCTGACAACACCTAACCACAGTGTCTACACTTCTTTGCACTCTAACTGCAATTGCCCGAAAAGAAAGTCCAGCTTCCCGAAGTCCCACTATACGGCCCCTATCAAACTCACTAAGTTGACGAAATCGTACAGGTCTCCGTACTCTAGGCATCGTAACCGATCGTAAAGGATGTCAAGAACCAAAATCCGCCAAAGTTGATTCTTTACTGCGGCTGAAATATTCATTTTTAGAGCGTTAGTGAATTAAAAAAAAGCAATATAAAAACCGGAATGTCCAACTGATAAGGCTGAAAATTGTTTCACTTGTTATTTACAGTAAGATAAATACATTCACCAACTTTTATTAAAATAAAACCATTTAAACTGGGTGTTCGGATTTATATGTCACTTAGTATATAATCAAAAATCATTATGCAGGGTGATTCACAAGTCGTGACCAAAAATGAAACATCATACACAGGACCGCATTTTGTTTTTTATCTTTAAACTTCTACATCCCGTATATTGTTAATGAAGCTCTCAAGGGAAAAATGTTACATAGTTAAATAGAAGACCCCCCTTAAAATTCGGTCCTGCGTATGTTTCGTTTTTAAAGATAACTCGAATGCTAGAGCCAAAGGCAGTTTCATGCTTAGAAAACATACTGTACATTCCCATACATACTTCTAAATCGTAACTGCGTGAAACTGGGTGCTCTTGTTGTTGTACGCTTTCCTCCTGTGTCGCCTGACTCCTCTCCAATCCCTCTAAAATTCTCCAGAGTTTGTTTAAGCTCAGAGGTACTTTCCTTGGCATAGTAGGTGTAGAAGCGGCCCTGGGAGCAGGTTCGGTTTCCGTCAAGAAAGAGCATTCCGAAATACTGCTGGAGTTTACTTCATACGATGTGATTTCTTGAGGTGGACTCGGGTTGATACTGCTGGAGTATTCCTTCGTGGAGCAGATTGAGCCAGAAGAGGAACACCAGGTTACCTCCACTGGATCATAGATTTTGCTTTTCTCGTAGATGCTTTCTGTCAAATACGTAACAAAGTTTAGATTCTCCTTAGCAATATGAGGGGGCTATACTTATTTTTTGAACGGGCTAACGTAGCAAGATGAAATGCTGGACGCTAAAACTATTGCAAAAATGCTATACTTTAGTATAAAAGAGACGTTAATTTCGGCTGGTCGGCGTTCAGATTCCCAAGGACTTGGCCTGGCACGAACTCGTCTCGTCAATAGCGACAGCTGCTGGGAAAAAGCTAGGCTATTTGCTTAGGGCTAGGAAGTAATTTTCTACACAAGGCCAACATAAGACCCAGTCTCTAGTATTGCTGGATTGTTTGAGATGCTGCCGCCCCGACTCCATTTTGCCTTTTCTACCGCTACGCCAATGAGCTTTGCTCCTCAGTGCTCTCCTCCATGATACCGCTGCGCAATGTGCCTGCAAGGCAGACCCGTCTGACTTAGGCCTCCCATCCTAGCAGTGTCGAACTTCGTACATCCAGAACTGGCCGATACGGCCGCTCCTTTGTCCCTAGGATATCGATATTTTGGAACAACACACAAGAGGGGGCTTTTTCCGCTTCTACCAACCTTAGTTAGTTTAAAAATCGGATTAACAAAGTTACTTTGGGATCCTCTTAGCAGCCGCGGTGCACTGGCAGCTGCTTCGGTGTAAAAAAAGAAGGAGTGGTCGTGTGATTTATTTTAAACTTAAGCCTACTTATGACTACTATAACCCCAACGTATAAATTTGCTATCTTTCGAACTGGTGTACTGGAAAGTTGTCAAATTTCAGCGTACATTGCATTTCTTATAATTCAACAACCAATTATCAATCCTCTATTCTGGGAAGGATCTGTCCAGATGTGTTATAAAATACAAGCTATTCCATTTAAAATGTAGTGTGGCTAAACTTTGATAGCTCGCCATTATAAAATTAGTGATTTTATACTCCAGGGTCTTAAAGTGCTCATAAGGGACTTGAAAATGAGGTATCACATGATCCCCCATTCCATCTAGAAAAATTTAAAAGTTGGCGCCCAGCTATCATCTTGCAATGTTTAACTATCAGTTTTAGGCCAAAATATAATATTCATGCACCATGCACTAACTCCTCATCCCGAATTATATCTCGCTATTATATAGAAAAGGCTAATAATTATCCAAAAACCGATCGAACTCTAGAAAAAATGTATAGACGAATTTTATCTCAATTACAAAATATGCCCGCCTGGCATTGGTGTTCTATATATCTCCCATTACCAGTCCCACTTTGGTGCCGTTTTTATCCAAATCCACTGAGGGTAAGTTTACCGATTGAAAACTTGGGGCTCACAAAAAACAAAGTTAAGGATACTTAACATTTTCACACTAACTGTAGTCAGAGATCAAGAATAATGTCAATTTTTAAAGATCTGAGTTTCTGCTACTAATTCTAATGCAGATGCACAATTTACAAAAAACAAAGCTTCATTATGTATCGACTAATAATGAACATAACACATTAGCATCATCTCAAACACAAACATCAGACCGACGGATGTGAATTACACGTAATTTTGGTCATGAGCACGTCGCAATACTTTTTGTCCAAGGTTCCAAAATCTTAAGATATCACACAAACTAATATCACACTTACTTTCTGGATCACTACACATAGACTGCACGAAACTCGTCTCCGCTTCAAAATCGCTCACATTTTCATCTTCGTGCATAAAACTTAACATACTTATCATAAATTCATCTATATCTACCACCTCCATCTCTAAACTGGTCCACTACCCGGTTTTTCAAATATCTCAAAATTATAGATTGTACAATACAGTTCTGCGTGGGGAATCAGATAAGGTCCTTCCTGCACCAAAAATGTCCGAAGGTAAAATGATAATCCCAAGAAATGGGATTTTATTTATTGGAAGTAGAAGGGGTTTCTGCAACTCCTGGGAAAACTGCAAATTTCTAGGCTCACGGTACGGTGGCGGCACCGTTTGCCTTTGAGGTGTTTCTGCCGCTCCAAGCAAAGGCACCGATAAAGGACGGGGTCAATCAATCTTTCATCACGGGAACCAGAGCTATCACTGTTTGAGGAAAGGAGACCTTTTTGTAATCTGTGTAGCTATGTTTAACCTTCGACTAACGTATTCCCTAAAAGAAGATGCATAACCATATGCTGTATTTGGACATCCATTTACGATTTCCATGATAATAGCGCTATTGCCAAGTAGGATTATAGCAGTAAATCGCTTAGGCCAACAAACATTTTAAGTTATAATTACGTTAAATCGAGTTAAAAAAAATGTTATATTTACTTCTAAGCGTTTACCTTTTTCTCGAAGCGGAGAATAACACCAAAGCAATGTTTAAGTCAATATCAGGTCCATGAGGCGTTTATTACTAAAAGGTCGAAGGATATAAGCAACTATTTAGGTCATCTTGTGGTAAAATCATAGTAATTTTGCCATATAAAACCACATGAGTTTGACTTAAATTTAACAATAAAGAAAACATAATATATGTCGCTCTGTCTTGCTCATACATACAGATGGTAACCATCTCGGTTAAAAAACAGATTAGCTGGTGATGCACTTGTCTATAGTCAAGCGTGTCAAAGAAGTAGCTTCCATTTGTGATAGTGATTATAACACAACGATTTCGAAATTAGATTTTCGTCCACAAATGAACGGAGAACCTAAGGGTAAGGAATTAATTCATCAAATGTAGCCATAATAGTTGCCCAAAATTTAGGGGCCTTAGAAATAAGCTAAGCTAACGAATTTTATTAATAATTTCAACGAGGCACTCTGATAACAAAATAACCTCAAATTATAAGAATGCTTTGTTTTAGGGAGCAATCCCAGTTCGTATTGGGTGTATGCGATAAGAAAAAAATGCTAACAGAGATCATTCTCTCTTTTTAAATTATAGTCGTGACCCTTTCCAGAGAGAAAGAAAGAGAGAGCGTTTGGTGTTCGATGTTTTTTTTATACTCCAACTACCACGTAGGCCTAAGGCCTAAGCACCCATTGGGTACCGTAGGGCTATAGGGAGATACATGGGAAAGGGGGAACGCCACACGGACTCTGGCGAGGGAACACGTGTGCATGCAACATGCACACATTCTGGCTCCGCCTACGAGATCCGCCGGGTGGTACCTCCGCGTTCGACAGTCAGAGACCGTCTACCACCTACGGACAATCATAACATCCATAGCCAAGAGAAAAATTTCTCCTGGGACGGGACTCGGACCCGCACAGCGCACGGCGACTGATCAGGAGACCGAAGAGTCAACTACTGCGGCCACCGCTGCTGCCTTTTGATAGTTCTGTGGTTTATACGCTTTATACTGCGTGGATTTTTATAATCCCGTATTCAACTTGTTCGCAAAAAGTGCACAACCTCTGGATTTGTCTTCAAAGTCAATTATTCTTTAAGCACTTTTTAGAGGAGTGTTTTTTGCAATTTTGAACAAACCAATTTCATCTCTGTTAAAGGTCTATTAGGGCCATAATTTAGTATGTAGTTTTGAGGACATCATTCAACTTTTTCTTGAGTGGTAGTTGAGAAGTAATAAAAACAAATTACATTTTCCTTTCCGAATCCGAAATCAACTTGGTGATGACGAAAGGAACAGTGGAAGACTAAAAATCTCAAGTTGATTGTCCTGCACTTCCAACGCTGACATCAGTTCATAAAGGATTATGTTGACCCTCTGAGGAAAAAGTTGGTTACGAACATGTAAAATCGAGAAATTAAATGGGTCAAGTCATTCAAACAGGAGGCCTATAAAGTCCATACACAACATATTTATGCTGCTCTGCCGATAGTACGCCGTTCATCTGGCAACGTGGTCCCTCTCTCAGACAGAAACATATGGTGTGAAAATGATTCCAATATTTTGCTGAAACGCTCTTATCACCTTCCCTGATACCATTTTGCTTGACTCCGTCAACTTTAGCGGTTCCTATGCTACCCCAGTCCACTCAAGAAGTGTCGGCGCGCGAGTGTCGGCGCGCGACGCGCTGGCTCAAAGATAAAAGCTACCGCTCTTTGTTTGGATACGCCGCAATATTCTCACGCCCAGGATACTAAAGATCCCTACAGCAACAGCTGAGCCCGAAGTTGCAATAAAAAAGATATGAATACCTACCTCATTTCCGGTCAACGAGCGTTTGATAATGATATACAGTCGGGACTATGCCACATCAAAAAGGAAATAATAGTATTTCTATCTTAAAAATAAATTTAGGTTTCCCACAAAAGTAACCCTCTTAGGCAAAACTTGCAAGATATGAACCGAGACTACATGGGCGTCCGCGAAGGCAGGGGGATCCTGTCTCCCCCTGGGAATCCGGTTTGCCCTTAAAATTTGCATGTTTAGCAGGATTCTGCCTACAATTTTTGGTCAACAAAATACGCTACCACAGGGCCGGATTGACCATTAAACAGAGTAGGCAACTGTCTAGGGGCTATGCATTGACTAGGGCTGAAAAAAATAAAAAAACGTTTAATCTGAAGAAAATTTATTTGGAAAATTTTAATTTGTTATTTGGTCGGTTTTTGGGTAGTTAGGCCGTCGTAAAATATTTTTATTTGACGTTTCGCCAACTCGAACAGTTGGCATCTTCAGAAGGTGTTCACAGTTCGGAGTCCTGTGAATAAGACTTTCTTTTCCGGTTCTTGGCAGCAGGCGCGGATCCATGACCCCCATGACCCCATCCCCAGTCGAATAGATAAATCTGTAATGCACACATATTAAATGGATGCCGTACTGGTATTTTCTACTAAACACTGGCAGCACTGCATCCGTCAACTTTGATTTAACTGTAAGCTCATAGATGATAGCGCAAGACTGGTTGCCTATGCGGACGGGTTGATGTAGGAAAAACTTCTTCGCGCCCGCTTAAGCTGTGAGCAAATTTGATAAAAAATACTTTTTGACGGACCAGTGGCAGATCTAAGGAAAAGGGCCCAGTCGATAATATGCACGGGGGTGGTGGGGGCAGTGGTATGATCGGGGACAGACGGCAAATAGTGCGCACTATAACTGTTTTGCGAATAACATAAATTACTGTAATTATTGACAAATAAAATACAGCAATGGAAACTTTGAAAGTTGTATGTTAACTCAGAAATTAATATAAAAATTTAATGCGTAATGTCATGTTAGTGTAATCGTACATCAGCCTTGTTTTTGCATTTAATAGTGGGCACGGGACAGGTAGTAATGCGCATCGTAATTTTTTGCAGAAAATTAAACTTGATGATTCACCAGCAAACTTCTTGTGCATAATAGAGTTTAAAAGTTATCTTGGATGCTACCGATAAGTAAAGGGCGTGGAGTCAAATGTGGAGTGCACGCTATTTATAGAGTTTGCATAAAGTTATAAGTAAGAAAAAAAACAAATATGATAGATAGTTGGTGTCATGTTTGTTTGCCGTGATTAATATTTCGTTGAATACAAACTTGGTGAACAACACTAAAGTACGTTAAATAACGTGAATTACTACAGGATAATATACTATACTACAACTATTTAAAACTGTAATGACTCATACGCGTGATCAACACGTGATCAGAGCTCGATCCCGGCTTCCTTCCAGTACAGCCGTATAGCGTACGACATATGTCGTTTCTGTGGCTTTGCGGTGGTCAACAGCACAGACAGAGATGGAAATAATGGCTGATTGTTCTCCGCCGGTAGAACCAATGAAATCAAAGACGCGCCTCGACCGGCAGACTCATAGGCGTCGGCAACGCATTGGACCGTGTTTCGTTGAGCGATCGCATATTGTGTGTTTTTATAAGAATTGTTGTGTGATTGTTATTGTTGTGGTTTCTGTGGTTACTGTTTTGGTTATACTTAACCATGGAGAGTACAAATGGCACGAGTGGAAGTACTGAAAGCCAGGGAACAAGTAGACGGCTTCGTAAAGCACTGAAGAGGGACGCGAAAGAAATCGTGCTCAACGTGTTAAATTATCTGAACAGAACTATGTCGCAGGGAGAAGAAGAAAAGAAAGAAAACTGGAGTTACTACTGATCCAAAGTTTAATTTCAAGGGACGAAAGGCCGTTAAATTGGATGACGATAGCAAAATGGCGTTAAGGCGAACCGTACATTCATTCTTCTTTAGGAATGAGATACCAACCCTCAAGGCTGTACATGCAGCGATCAAGGAAAATGAAATTATACCCCAAATGAGCGTCGAGGTAATGAGAAAATCCCTGCACGAAATTAATTTTCGTTACGAAACGCGTAATCGGAAGTCAGTATTGATAGAGAGACCTGAAATAGTCGCCTGGCGTCGAAAATACCTACGCGAAATGATTGAATATAGGCGACAAAGCAGAAAAATCTATTATTTGGACGAGACATGGGTAAATGCAGGTCACACAGTTAAAAAAACCTGGATAGACAAAAACGTAGTGAGTAACCAACAAGCAAGCATTGAAGGTTTGTCAACAGGTCTTCGTGGACCGTCAGGGAAAGGTCAAAGATTGATCGTAACTCATATTGGTAGCGATAGTGGCTTTTTAGAAGAGTGTGACTTGATTTTCGTCTCTAAGAAAGGAGGTGATTACCATGACGAAATGAATGCCAGCTGCTTCGAGAGCTGGTTTCAAGGGGTGCTTCAGCGAGTTGAGCCCAACTCTGTGATCGTCATGGATAATGCTTCCTACCATAGTCGTCGAGCCGAACGTGTACCGACTATGGTATCTCGAAAAAGTGACATGCAGCAATGGTTGAGCGAAAAAGGAATCC